TTTTTTTTTTTCACCCCGGGGGGGGGGGGGGGGGGGTGGAGTTCAGGGCAGGTGGTCTTGCCAAGCATTCCTACCAGACCTAAAGGGTCTAGTATCAATTGAGGGAGACCCTCATGCTTTTTTTCTTCTTCTGTGGCCTGTAAAAATGTCTGTTACTTCTACAGAATACATATCAATTTAATACATTTTCCTGTATAGCATTGCTGGTATGAATATGGAACTCAACACTAAACAAATATATGGCAGCATTTCAAAGTATTATATAACCAGTATTTGTTATACCTAGGTGTGCATCTTCTCTGTACTAGAATTCAGACTAAGCAAATTTAAAAGAGAACTATTGGGTAATCGTTTTTCTCCATAGATCTCTTAAGGGTAACGGGAGGACATATAATAGCGTCCTCCAGTGACCCGAAGCTCAGTATATTGCGAGCTACAAATCGCGGTATACTGAGACCGCCGCAGCCGGGACAGATCCCGACATTACTGTGGAAATCCACCCAGCTGCGTGAGTGACCGCTGGCTCTACCTGTCTAGAGGCAGAGCCAGCTGTACCCGCCCCCTCCCCCATCCGTTCCTCCAGTCAGCGCTGGAGGATCAGAGTGGGGAGGGGGGAATCCCTGCAGGGAGCTGTGACTGACAGTGACCACTCTCTGCTGGGAGATGATCGAAAAGTGAGCGAGCGACGGTATGTGTTCGCTAACTTCCCAATCTATTGAGCCGATGTGTGACAGTTTTATTGTCACACGTCGGCTCGAACTATGAGGATGAGTGATTTTCACTCACCTCATAGTTCTCCTTTAACACAATAAAACTTAATTCAGAAAAGAAATTTGTATGCGTGTGAAATGTTCTCTATTGGAAATTTGTATTTGTTTGCATTAGTTTTTTCTGTCATTCGGAAATTCATATGCATCCGAATGTTCGAATTTCTGACAATTCGTCTGAATAACGAATCTTTCCAAAACAAACCACAAATATCTAGTGGCCATATCAAGGACACATGAGAGCATTAACTCTCCAACAACTCTCCAACAAACATTTAAAATTGAAGTCTATATTTTTGTACTTTTTATCTTTATCAAATATAACGCAAATAGTGTGCACCGCGCTAATGCTCATATATGGGAATAACGGTTCTATACCTACCTATAATGTATATAAATGCATACACATAAGTAAACAAACATGTTCTCATATATAAATATACACAAACTCCTGTGATGGACTACAATCTCACATTTAGTTTACTAATTTGTATTGAGATTGTAGTCCATCATGGGAGTGAGTTTGGAGTGGTGGCTACTTTACAACACACAGGGACCATGGGGAACAAAAGTAGCCCCCCTCCAGAAGGAAGGACAGTGTCAGCACCAATTCTGAGATTTGAGAATCTACAGCTGACTTATAAACAAATCAGCTACATTTTTGTTAAAGGAGAACTATGGGGTTAAGGCTTTTCCCCATAGTTCTCTTTAGGGTAACGGGAGGACACAAACTAGCGTCCTCCCGTCACCCTAGGTTCAGTATACCGCGAGTAGCTCACGGTATACTGAGATGCCGCAGCCAGGACGTATCCCGACATTACTGTCAAGATCCACCCAGCTCGCGGTATACTGAGACGCCGCAGCTGAAGCGGATCCCGACAATTATGTCTGGATCCACCCAGCTGCGTGACTGACAGCTGGCTGTGCCTATCTAAAGGCAGAGCCAGCTGTACCCGCCCCTCCCCCGTCCGTTCCGGCAGTCAGCGCTGGCGGATCGGAGCGGGGGGGAAACCAGCCCCTCCCATGTCACGGCAGAGAGCCGTGACAGGATCAAGAGGTGAGCAAAAGCCGGTATGTGTTCGCTCACCTCCCGATCTACTAAGCCGACCTGTGACAGTCTCATTGTCACAGGTCAGCTAGAACAATGAGGTGAGTGAAAAGCACTCACCTCATAGTTCTCCTTTAATAGTTAGGGTGCTTGAATGCATTTTTAGGTTTAACTCCTGAGTTTAGAGTAACTTTAATTTAGCCTTATTGCATTCTTATTGTACACTTTCTTTTATATATTGCAAGCACTGTACGGTTCTTAAAAATTAAAGGAGATTGTACAATCAGATTGTCCTGTGCTTGATCAAGTTTAGAAACCTATACCTTAGTGCAGGGGTAGGCAACCTCGGCACTCCAGCTGTGTTGAGCCTACAAATCCCACCATGCTTCTTACTCTGGGGGTCATGCCTGTGGCTAGCAGAGTCCTGCAGTGACTCCTTGGACTTGTAGTTCCACAACAGCTGGAGTGCCGAGGTTGCCTACCCCTGCCTTAGTGGATGCTCTTTTTTGACATTCACATTTGAGCAACAACAATGTATGTTTTCTTTCTCTCCTTTTTTTTTTTAATTAACATTACCTATTATCTTTAATTTTAGTTGGTTCGTCTGTGTAATGAAGGAGCACGGAAAATGGAGAGGATGGAAATGATGGTGACAATTAATTCTCAGCTAGAGTTTAAAATAAAGGTACTGTCATTATTTGCTTTTTAAGTGCCACTTTAGATATAAACATATTATTTTCTTGGTCCCGCTTCAAATGCAATGTGAACACTACTAATAAAGGATTGTGCATTAGTTATGCAAAGATGTACAATCATTTTAGCATTGAACTTGCAACCTTTTTCACAGTTTATGTACCAAAAATTAAAATACCCTCCAAGAAAACCCTTGCATGCCAAAAAAAATGCAGAGCCGCTGACTGATGGTGCAGAGTTAACATGTGGCTCCCCTGCAGGTGTGGCTGTCTGGGGGATTTACCTCGCCTCCCGCTGGGCTCCCCAGACAGTTCCGGCATCAAAGCCTGTGTTCTATAATTTTTCTCCACCCCATAAAATTCCTTGACCATGTAACTTCTGTTGTGGCTGCATAATCCGAATCAGCTGTTTTCCTGACACCCTTTCTTGCGCATTCACACCTGGAAGTGGCGAGGTCGATACATTTTATGGGCCTCATCACTGCTGCGTGCATGCACAAACGCTGCGACCCTGGCAGTTCTTCCACTGACTCCAAGCTGTAGCACAAATCTCAGCAATACATTATATAGCAATGCAGACTACCACCAGCTATAGAGGACTACAAATCTAAGCAGTACATTATATAGGAATGCAGAATGGCACCAGCTATAGAGGACTACAAATCCCAGCAATACAATATACAACAATGCAGGATAATAACAATAGTGATAGAGCGCAACAAATCCTAGCAATACATTATACAGCAATGCAGAATGGCACCAGCTATAGAGGACTAAAAATCCCAGCAATACAAAAATTAGTGGTGGCACCGGTTGTTGGTATCGGAGCAGCGATACTGGTATCTGTATCATTGCATCCTTAGTTTGAAGGCCCTTGTAATTGGCAAAAAATAGTGTGTAGCAACACACCCAGTTGTGCTCTGCTCCCCTTTTGCCTCTTATGTGAGGCGTTTGTAATGCAGAGTGCAGAGGTCACGCATGGAGGGGATTTTTTTTTAAAATGGCGTAGACGGAATCTGGAGCACTTGCTCATAGCAACCAATCAACTCTTTCATTTTCAAAGCTTAATTGAAGAAACTGAAGACAGAAACTGAGTGGTTGCTATGTACAATTTCCTCAGATTCTGTCCGCTGCAGGTTTCATAACTCCCCCCTATAGTGCAGAGGTCAGTACTAAGAAACACAGAGTGCAGAGGTCAGTGGTGCAACACAGGAAGAACAGGCACTTTCAGTGCACACAGTTGAACTGATCTCTCTCGATGGGGGTGGGGGGGTGTCAGCGATGTTGCCTGCATGTAATGAGGTGAAGCCCCCAGCAGCCTTGCTGTGCTTTCCTTTCTCTGCAGGTGCTGCAATCTCCCTCCCAGTATAAAGCAGCTTAATTGGGTACGGGAATATGCAGGTGGCTGCTGAAGGGCCTGAACTGTGAACTGGGCAGTCACCATGGGCAGCTGAGAGCTCATGGTGGTGGGCTTTGTTAAGATTTATCATGAAGGCCCGGGGGGGCAATTGCCACACTGCCCCCTGGCCGCCTCTGCTCCCCAGCCCACATCTACAGCCATGACTTGTAACTGAGTCTTGGCAGGTGTTAGGTTAGTGTAAAAACTTTCTTTGTGGCAAATTTAGTGTTAGGATAGAAATGGTGAGAGTGGCTTGGAAAAAAACTAAAGTTTCGACTTTAGGTCTGCTTTAAAACATGTGCGCACCTAAGAATTCATCAGGGTCACGTTTATGTTGGCTACTTTCAGCAATCAGAGTAAGAAAGTATATATCAAAGTGTGATTTAAAGTGAATATGTCTCGCCACTCCTGTTTTGCACTGTCATGATGTGCAATAGAACTGATAAAGCTCCCTCAGAGAAAGTCATCCAGTTTGATCTCAACAGCCAATTTAAATTTCAAAAATAGAATGTATATGACAAAGCATTTCGATCATCTACAACTTACCAGCACAATGTAAATATTTGATGGAAACATTTTTGTGCAAATCTCTCAGGGCTCTTGAGGACTGAAGGAATGTGAAGGTGTCATTGCACATTTCCACACTGATCACTACATTTGTTTTCACTTCTAAGTTTAGAACCATTGTTTGTATTTCAGGAAAGCTTTCAAAGCAAACCAAACGTTCCCGTTTTACACACTCATTATTTCTGCAAATTACCTGGGATGTTTCTTGTTATTTTGACTTCATCTGTCTTCACTTTCACTAACACAAATTTGTTACCTCTTACTTAGGAGCACTAAACAGCTGTATTGTGAAATGTTTAAAGCACCAGCCCACCTAAAACTGACATTTTAGTTTGACAGCTGGTGAAGGGTTACATCACCAAACAGGATCTCCTTGCTTGAGTTAACGGGTTAGCAGAGATGCTGCAGCCATTACAAGGAAGGTGTCATTCTCTCTGGCGGATTTAAAATAATATATTTTATATTGTGGAGAATGTACCAGGAAGAGTGTTTCTGAGCTGATTTGGCAAAGCACATTTTTCCGTAACAGCATAAAAGGGTGGTAGTACCCAAAACTCCAAGGCAGGCAAGCAAAGAGCATGGAACTATGGAAATGAGGCCTTGCTGCTTGAGTCCACATTAAATACTGACATCTCAACTCTCCCAGACTTTCTGAGAGACTCCCGCTATAAGATAGTGGCCCCCTGACGCCTGGGAGAGAAACATTTTATCCAGGAAAGGTGTACTATGCTATCTGTTTGTTTGTTTTTTAAAATCTTGACAGCTTGACAAAAAAAAAAAACAATCAAACAAACAACGGACGGCAGTAGCTAAGCTGCTATTGGCTATTTCAATTCACAAGTTCTCCTTCAGGTCCTCCTCTGCTGATTGACAAAATGTTGTCACTATAACGCCCAGAAGAAGGGACCCTGCATGGCCCCGAAACGTTGGCTGTTTGACGCATGTGACGATTTAATAAAAAAGTGCTTTACTTCTTGCACACATCATCGAGTGCTGGTGACTTCTATTGTGGACTTTTTGGAAAATAGACACTTTTTGGAAATAAGGAAACATGCTGGTATTGAGGTAGTTAAAGTGCACTTAGACCTTAAAGGAGATTTATGAGGTGAGTTATTTTCGAGCCGACGTGTGACAATGAAACTGTCACAGGCTGGCTCAATAGATCGGGAAGTGACCGAACACATAACGTCGCTCGCTCACTTTTCGATCATCTCCCTGCAGAGAGCCGTGAATGTCACTCACGGCTCCATGCAGGGATTCCCCCCTCTCCGCTCCGATCCTCCTGCGCCGACTGGCGGAAAGGATGGGGGAGGGGGCGGGTACAGCTGGCTCTGCCTCTAGATAGGCAGAGCCAGCTGTCTCTCACGCAGCTGGGTGGATCTCGACAGTAATGTCGGGATCTGTCCTGGCTGCGGCGGTCTCAGTATACCGCGAGCTTTAGTTTGCGATATACTGAGCTTCGGGTCATGGGAGGAGGTTAGTATATGTCCTCCCGTGACCCTTAGGAGAACTATGAGGAAAAACACTTACCCCATTGTTCTCCTTTTAAAAGTCGCTCACTAAAGCCAAGTAGTAGCAATAAAATCCCCCCCCCCCATCTCCATCATTGGTAGTCAGTGACATTTTCATTCTCTGCATGATTAGTGGTTAGTGGCGCTTTAAACTCCCCCACTTTTAAAACAAACTATCCCACATTCTTTGATTGTCAGTGTAACTTATAAACACTAGCAGTGTTTACCCTTGTGATCGCTGTGATTGGTTTACAGTGATCACAAGGTACAGAGCCACTTTGATTGGCTCTGCACATTTTGCCTTTGATCTGTGCTGCCTAATGTCAGCTCAATTACAGGCTTTCAAAAGGCACACTGGCTGCCCATGCATATTTTCTACAAGCTGTTTATAGACGGCACTCTAGAACATTGAATTAACCTACCTAGTCAAGACTGTTGCTCTGTGAATTCTAATACTAGTTGTAGTTTGAGCCTTATACCTTAATAATAAGATTATTGATATAGCAATAACCCACAGTTTGAGACATTTACTCCAGTCAAAATGTTTTTATAGTTTAAAAACTGTATGGAAGAGACCTCCTTAGGTTTTCATTTTTGGTCTGTGTCCCCACTGGGGGCAACTCTCTAGTGGGAACAAAGACTGCAATAAAGCAATTTTGTTCCCAATACAATGCAGAAGGGTTAGAACCTCTATAAGGTTATTATTACTGCTTGTGTCTTCTTGCCTTATTGATAACTGCTCCCCCATTTCTTGCCCTGCTGTTACAGGGGCAGGAAGTAAGAGGAAATCTCACCATGGGGCCACAGATTGCAATAAAGATATATATATATATATATATATATTATATACACACATACACACATACACACACACACACACACACACACACACACACACACATCACATCACATCACATATATGATAAGGTGTTTAGATTCTAAAAGTCAATGACCTGAGAATGACTGGGATCTGGCAGGCATATGCTGTTGTTTGCTACTTTTTGTAGACTAACTCGTTAGTCATTCTTTCTCCTATTACAGAACTCTCCTTAATTACATGTCACGTAGTGTTGAACCTGAAGGAAGATCTGCCACGTCCTTACTCAGCGTAGCTATTTCCTACCTTCCTTAGGCAGCGTTGCCAAATGCAAGGAACAGTGTGACTATACTCCTATTGTTTACGTTTTTTCCGGAGTGAAAACAATTTACATGGCCCTGAGGAGCCAGTTAAATATAAAATGTCTAGGAGAATGCATCATGTTAAGTCTTTTGGAATGCAATCTGTTATTATAACATGCGAGGTAGAGAACAGCAATCAACAAGTTTGGATGATCATTCAGAAAACCTATTCCTACCTCGAGTAATTATGTAAATTTTCATATTTGAAAAGGTAGTCTTGCTGTCTGCATTACAGGTTTGAAAGAAATGTTATGGCTCCTGTGATTGCATTGTCACATGTTCTCTATAGAGACAAGGTGCCAGTGTTGACACTTTAAGACTACACGTTGTTAGCTTT